CCCCCCGGGGACTCTGGTTCTTCCTCCCACCATCCTGATTGCTCCACAGAAGCAGAGGAATGGGCTCACAGCCCACGCCCCTGGTCACAAAGTGACTTCACCCACGTTTTCCTGTTGATGCTGAGGTGAGCCTCACCGCCCTAACTGGGGGACACAGAGCATCTGAACTGGATGGACGAAGTAGGAGGAGGTCTGTCGCTGTTATGCATGCCCCATAAATGTCACGACCCCCACCCTGGAGCATCAAGGATTGGTTCCTCAATGGGGAGGGAGAAAGCAAAGAACACAAAAAGCTTTAGAATGCACCAAAGCATTTGTTTTAATGAAGGAAAATGGAAACAGTTAAGCAGTTCAGGGCAGACGGCATATGGAAATCTCACTCACCTGGCTGATCTACTGGGTCCTGGAAATGCCTGTAAAAAAAGCAGGAAGGTCACCCAACAGGAAGACTGGACAGGGGAGCACAGGTGCCCTCACCTGTCAAAAGCTCGCTTCACGCCATTTTGCTTTTACAAAAGATCTACGTTATGAGGGGAAGTCAAAAAGTATTGCTACTGGGGGTTCTTGTTCTTACAAAGTATGGGTTTATTCCAAACAAACAGAACCTGTTTAAACATGTCTCTGCAATGAGTGGATGACTGCAGACATGTTCTCTCACTAACAGACGTGTTTCAGTTAGTCTTTACATGAACTGTTACGAGGGGACAGACCATGCCACCTGCTTATGATGAAAGAAATCCCTGCTTTGTTCTCCAAAATCCATTTCAGGGTTGCAAGATCATAGTTCTGAGGGTGTTTAAAGGCCACTCCTTCAGGAAGCCCCTGCACGACCACAGCCGACTGGTCTTTCAGCATCTTCTCATACGGAACAGGTACCACTGTTGTTGTACCCAAGGCTTTACCTAGAAGGAGGGGCAAAAACATCTTTAAGAGGTATGAGCATCGAACTCTACTGGGCAGCTTCACTGAATGAAATAGCCAAGTATACGTGGTGATTAAACCAACAGTGAGCATCTTCAGTAAGTCCACGGGCCCCTGGGAGCAAGGGATGTATCTGGTCAATAAGACGGTTTGAAGAGTCAGAAGAGATAAACTATCTTCTGGAAGAACATTAATCTGGTAGTTAAGGATTATTCATTTGAGGAGAATGTGGGTTTTTAAATACTGGAAACAGTTCACAAGGGAGCTTCAAGAAGTGTATGGGGAAAAAAAGGAGCTAAAAGAATAATGGAGTTTTCCCACAAACTTTTGGAAGTCCCCTCTGTAAACATACCTTGCTAGAACCATCTTACACCACCCTGCTCCTCAATGAACTGTTTAGAGTACCAATGCCGAAGGTGTACTGTACCGTAACTAAGGCAGAAATAGTTCTCGACTGCTTTTCGGAGGATTTCTGTCTCTTCTGAGTCAGCCTGCAGCCCATTTTCAGGGAATGAAGGTTTCATCTCCTGTAACTCTTCAGCAATGCCTGTGAAGGGACAATTGGCACAAAGTCAAAATCTACCTATCTGTAGTTACAGCTCCTTCACCTACACGTTTTGGTTACTGAAAGGCAAAAAAAAAAAAAAAGGCACATACATGAAACAAGATCTATTAACTAAAAAAAATAAAAAATAAAAAGGTATTTTCAATGACCAGGGTAATATGAGATGGTGGTCATTCCTAGAAAAATCTACTGGTCAAAAAACTACCAAGGACGTGTGGCCAGAGACGGGCAAGGATCACGTGGAACCTCGGCAACCTAAGACAGAGCCATTGCCATGCTGCAATGAGTTTCGATGACGGGTAAGATTGAGGAATTCACACTGACCGCCTAAGACAGGCAGCGTCCCTTAAACAAAAAATAAAGAAGGGGGAATCTGATGCAGACCGTGCAGACCCGGTCAGGAGTTCAAGTCCCCGTGGGCCCAAGCGTTGCTGACCGTCCAAACCATAGGCTCTGAGGATCAGACTTTAGCCACCTAGCAGACATAGCAAAATGTCCCTTTTCTGATTATTCAGTTATGCTGGTTAGTAATTCCATACATGAGCCCTGGATACCCACAGATAAAAGAAAAAACCTTCCATAAAAGCCGAGACTGTAAATTCCAAAAAGGCAAAGTTTCCCCCCCCCAAAAAAAGCTAAAGAGGATATAGAGAAACTCTGTTAACTGATGATATGTGGAGGGGATTATAATCAATGTAATGAAACAAGGTATATGAATGTTTGAATGTGAAACCGATGATGTGCCCTGAAAACTTTCACTCAATCCACAATAAAAACCTTAAAAATAAAAAACTACCAAGAACTCAATACACAGGGAAATAGTAAAAGCTTCATTTTTTTTTTAAATTTTAATTTTTCCTGTTCTTGTTGAGAACATACACAGCAGAACAGATGTCAATTCCACAATTTCTACAGGAATCATTTAACGACACTAATGATATTTTCCAGTTGTTCATTCTCACCCTTCTTTTCCAAATTCTTCTTCCCCCACTAACATCAACCCACTGCCTCTGAGTGAGTTTCTTATCTTACTTTTTGAGTTTCTGTTTAATCCCATAGGTGGTGGTGGTGGTGGTTAGGTGTCACCAAATGGGTTCCGACTCACAGTGGCCCCGAGTACAGCAGAATGAGCAATTTGCCCAGTGTTGTGCCGTCCTGACAATCGGTCCTCTATTTGAGCCCACTCCTGCAGACACCGTGTCAACCTATTTAGTCGAGGGTCTTTCTCTTTTTCGCTGACCCTCCACTTTACTAAATATGGTGTTTTTGTTCTTCCTGATGACATGTCCAAAGTACATTAGACAAAGTCTCACTCTCTTCATTTCTAAGAAGCATTCTGGTTGTACATCTTCCAAAACATATTTGTTCAGTCCATAATATATTTAATATCGTTCCCCAACTCCATAATTCAAAGTAATACCATAACTCAAAGGCATCAATTCTTCTTCGGTCTTCCTTATTTATTGTCCAGCACATGAGACACTTGAAAATACCAGGCCTTAGTCTTCAAGGGATGGTTTTGCTTTTTAATACTTTAAAGAGATCTTTAGCAGCAGATAGTTGTATGCCATTGTGCCGGTTTTAACTCTTAGCGACCCTGTATAGGGTTTCTGAGAGTGGATGGTGGGTCTGAACTGTCGACTTTGTGGTTACCAGTCTAGTGGTTATCCTACCAGGGACGCAGATTAGCCCAATGCAATACATTGTTTGATTTCTTGGCTGTTGTTTCAATGGATGTTGATTGTGGCTTCAAGAAAAATGAAATCCTTGACAACTTCCGTCTTTTATCATGATGTTATTTACTGGTTCCGTTTTTGAGAATTTTTGTTTTTTCTTTTTATGTTGATGTGCAAGCCATACTGAAAACTATAGTCTTTGATCTTCATCAAAAAGTATTTCAAGTTCTCTTCATTTTCAGCAAGCAAGGTTGTGTTCTCAGCATATCCGATTGTTAACGAGCTTTTTTTTTCTCCGATCCTGTTGCTGCTTCCTTTTTCATACAATCTAGTTTCTCAATTACTTACCTAGCATACAAAATGAATAAGTTGAATTTGCATTTAGCAGTCCAAGGCTGATCCTACATTGCCACTCCATTAGACCACATTACTGATTCAAAATGGCTAATCTTTCTCAGTTCCATTTCATATTTGGCAACTTCCCATTTTCCTAGATTTATACTTCCTACTATTTATATTTATATTTATACTTCCTACTATTTATATTTCCATGTTCCAATTATTAATGGATGTTTGTAGCTGTTTCGTCTCATTTTGAGTTATTCCCCATCAGCAAAGGCAGATCCTGAAAGCGTTACACCCACATCCCTAATATCGATACTACTTTGAGGAGGCAGCTCTCCCCTCAGTCATATTTGAGTGTCTTCCAACCTGAGGGGCTCAACTCCTGGACCTATATCACACAATGTTTTGCAACTACTCGTAACATTTTCAGTGGCTAATTTTTCACAAGGGGACCAACTCTTCCTTCTCCCTTTTCTATCTTAGTCTGCTGAAACTCATCTGCCGTAGGTGACCATGCGGATATTTGACACACTGATGGCAACGTTTCTAGCATCACTGCAACACGCAAGCCACCAGTGTGACAAACTGACAGATGAGTGGTGATCCTGCACCAATTCTCCTAGTTCTTAAAAGAGCACAATGGTGGAGAGAGACATTCTTTACTAATTAAGCTACATTATCTGGTGCTGTGAATAAAGTCGCTATGGGTCGGTACCGACTCGATGGCACCTAAGAACAACAACAACAAAACAACAACAACAACAAAATCTAGGATCAGCTCTGGACTGTAAACTGCAAGGTCGGCAGTTCAAACCCTACTCATAGTGACACTGAAGGTTGTATCATCTGCATTTAACAACAGCAATCATTTAGTTTGAAGATGACTTCATTTGGTTTAAGGTTTAGAGTTGATCACAGAGCAGTAGTTTTGGTGGTTTAGGAACTAGTCAAAGTTTAAAAGGAAATTATTGTATATATAGCCTAACAAAAGCTTATCAGTTAAACAATCAGAAAGTAACAATAATTGCAGTGGAAGACCCTTACTATTGAACACACTTAAAATTCCTCCCCCCAGCCCCCACCAACTGCTACTCCAAAACTTTTTAAACGGATTGTATTAATCAGACATCAGACAGTAATTTCAACAGGAAAAGTCAGTTACCGTGAAACCTGTAAGAGGTGAAATTTAACAGGACTGCCTTGTTTTCCAGGTCTCGTGAGTTTTCTGCCTTTGACAGTGTGCAGGCCTACTAATTTTTAAAATTATTTTTATTGTGATTTGGGTGACAGCTTACGGAGCAAGTTGGTTTTCCATTCGACAGTGCAGACATATTGTTGTTTCGTGACATTGACCGCAGTCCCCGTTTCCTCCCTGTGTCTACCGTTTCCCCTCGTCTTTCTTTCCTGTCCTTTCCTGTCTTCTGAACTTTGTTGTTGTTGTTGTTATATGCCGTGGAGTCGGTTCCGACTCATAGTGACCCTGTACAGGGTTTCTGAGGCCTTCTCCCGCAGAACAGCTGGGAGTTTCGAATTGCTGACCTTGCGGTTCACAGCCTGATCCATGCCCTTTTCACCTCACATGGTTGTCCAAAGGGTGCATACCTCCCAGGTGTTACTGTTCACCTTACATGCCTATAATTTGGCTGAAAGTTGAGCCATGGGGTCTTACCATTTTTCCATTAATCTCTATTAGAAACCCGACTTTATAAACACCCAGAGTATATTTATTTTAGATTTTAAAAAAGAAATGAAATTATGGGCTGGAACCGAATTAATGACATTTAACAATAATAGCATCATTGGACAGGGGTAGTGACTAATGTCACCATTCATCTGTCAGTTGGTCCTACTGTGGTGGTTTGCATGTTGGTGTGATTCTGGAAGCTATGCCACCGGTATTTTAAATACCAGTAGGGTCACCCACGGTGGACAGGTTTCAGCTGAGCTTCCAAACTAAATCAGACTAGGAAGAAGAGGTGGAATGCTTCTGAAATCTTAGTCACTGAAAACCTTAAAAACAGCAGTGGAACACTGTCAGATATAGAGCTAGAAGATGAAACATTACAAACAGCACCCGAATACTGTCAAGATATAGTGTGGGGAGATGAGCCCCTCAGGTTGGAAGGCACTTAAAATACAACTGGGGAAGAGCTGCCTCCTCAAGGTAGACTTGGCCATGATGATGCAAATGGAGTAAAGTTTTTGGGAATTCATTTGCTGATGGGCACAACTCAAAATAAGAAAGAGCTGCAAACATATACTAATGATCAGAACATGGAATGTACGAAATATGAATCGACGTAAATTGGCAGTTGTCAAAAATGAAATGGAACGCATAAAAATCGATATCCTAGGCATTAGTGAACTGCAATGGACGGGCACTGGCCATTCTGAATTAGACTATACCAGGAACAACAAATTCAAGAGGAATGGCAGAGCATTCATGGTCAAAAAGAACATTTCAAGATTGATCTTGAAGTATAATGCTGTCTGTGGTGGGATAATATCCATATGCTTATAAGGAAAACCAAGTAGCTTCTTGTAGCAGTGTTTACGAATCGGGCTGCTAATCTCACGGTCAGCAGTTCAAAACTACCAGCTGCTCCGCAGGAGAAAGATGAGGCTTTCTGCTCCCATGAAGATTTACAGCCTCGGAAACCCCATACAGGGTTGCTGTGAGTCAGAACCGACTCCACAGCACATTAACCACCACCACTATAAGGAAAACCAGTTAATATCACTATTATTCAAATTTACATACCAACCACTTTGACTACATCTGTGGGGAGAGACACTGGAGAAGCTCACTATGACTTAGCCAAAAAAAGTCCAGGCTGAAGCTGAAGAAAATTTGTGCTTTATTGACTATGCAAACAAAGGCTTTCAACTGTGTGGATCATGACAAACTATGGATAACATTGTGAAGAATGGGTATTCCAAAACACTTAATTGTGCTCATGA